AATAGAATAGAATAGAATAGAATAGAATAGAATAGAATAGAATAGAATAGAATAGAATAGTATGGGGAAAACAACCGAAAAAATAATTTTTAAAATGAAAATATAAATAAATTACTGTGCAGTAAAGATCACATGAATCTATAGTCTCTCAAATTTGTTGAATTATTATAATTTCAGCAATATTTCACAAATGTATGCATATCTGATTGTGATTAAAGTTTTCTTAAATTAAATTTACATTTAATTCTGTAGCATTTTTATATCTCTAAACCTTACTTCGAGGAGTATGGTGAGCTGGGCGTTTCTATAATCATCTCCATGGTGATCCAGTGTTTTCATGAGGAACCTTTGAAGATCAGCAGAGTTTTCAGGTAAGCCTTCCGGTAGAAAGGTTCAACCACAAAGAAAAAAAAAAAACCTTCAGGTATCAACATGAAGTCATATACCGCCTCTCTTTCTTCAAGCGTCGTGTAATCCTTTGGACTTGATGAAGGCGATTGAGGATTTTCTGGTTTACCTGAACACAACACATAGCAGTAGTTGTCATAAAGGATCATCAAGGAAAAACAGAAAAAAATAATATGTGACAGAAGTTTATATATTTAAAACCAACAAAAAAAAAAAAATCACATACCGTACTTTGAAACAAAACTATGGCTAAAATTAACCAATGCCGCCTTACTACATATTTATAATTTAAAAGAAATACATTCAGGAAGGTTGTAAAGTGACCAACAAAAACACTACGCTCACTTGTTCTATTTCCAAGCACTTCCTGGCCATCGCAGCACATTTTCTTTTCATAAGAGCTATTCTTTCTTCATCTTCTTGAGCCGTGCTCTCTAGCAGCTCACTGCCTCCTGGATCCTGGTCTAACTCCACCTGAAGAAGAAATACATAATGAATAAAATGACACTGTATTGCACCAACAACATATATACACATTAAAGCTCATTAGCTGAAAGCAAGCACAACATTCTTAGGCTGCTGTTTGTAGCTGGGAATGTTTTAATCCAACTAGAGCAGCAGCTGTTGATTAGATTAGTAATCAATGAATTTAATTACACATTTTCATAGATTAATACTTTTAGGAAATTAACATTCCTCAACAAATATTTTGAGTTTAGAAAAAAAAATGCTTTGCACATTTTAAATGAGTAGATAGACAGACAGACAGACAGACAGACAGACAGACAGACAGACAGACAGACAGACAGACAGACAGGCAGACAGGCAGACAGACAGATTTATAACTTAAGAGTATTTTGCTAATTAATAAATTTTCTTTACTTTTTTGAATAATTGATTATCAATCGGGAAACAAAAGGTGTTTAAACGGAGGGGTTGTTTGGTGTTTCTTTAAAACAACATGAACTTAAAAGTATGCAACTTGAGGATTTCCTGATAAAGCATAATTTTAGACAAAGGGTTTTTCATCTTAAATGGAAAATCTTTATATTTTTTATACAGTTTGGTAATAATTATGTCGTAAATTAAACTTCCAGCAAATGGCATTTGGTTTTTGAGTTTGTACCCTGCCGTTAATGATTCCGATACCAGATGATTTATTATTTCAAGAATTGCATAACCGTGATTAATCTGACTGACTGGCGACCTGTCCAGGGTGTACCCCGCCTCTCGCCCATTGACTGCTGGAGATAGGCACCAGCACCCCTCGCGACCCCACTTGGGACAAGCGTGTAAAGAAAATGGATGGATGGATGGATGGATGGATTAATCTGACTGTTTCAGAGGGACAGAAAATCTGTGTTGTGATTTTGTATTTAACTCCATTTAGATAGAACTGAATAAAACCTGCCAGATGGAGACCCTGAACACACCATTGCCGTTAAACACAGTGGTGGAAGGATCAGGTAGTTGGTATTTTAGAAGACGGACAAAGTTAACAAAATAATTTTTGTCCCATTTTGTTAAACTTAACATAATCTAATAGTCAACATTTCTACCAATGACCTTCATCGGGAAAAAGATCTCCAATTTTCCAAGTATAAGTTTAACCCCTGAAGCAAACTGAGATCATCCTACCAGATACTTTTAATGTAGCCAAGGTTTACAGTAAAACACAAGAGGGTATATAATTTCAAACGTTGCTTTTAGATTCTTAAACAACCTCTTAATGATATTCAAACTCCAAAGAGTATACAGTCTTTTACATCCAGCTTGAAAAGATATGTTTTTCCATTGGCTCAGGTCCATTGGGTCTTTCATGTTAGACATTTCAGGTTTTATTTGAAATAAAATTTGAAAAATCTGAATCATTTGTAGCTGCACAGTGGTGCAGTTTGTAGCACTGGTGCTTTGCTGCAAGAGGATTCTGGGTCAGATTTCTGGCCCAGGGTCTTTCTGCATGGAGTTTGTATGCCCTCCTCATGAGTGCATGCATGGGTTCTCTTGGGGTACTCCAGCTTCCACCCAGAATGCAAACACATTACTATTAGGTTAGTTGGCGTCTCTAAATTGTCCTTAAGTGCGAGTCTGAGTGTGTGCATAGATGTGTCTGCGTTGCCATGTATTGGACTGCAGACCGGTCCAGGGTGTTCTGGATACCCCGCCTTTCGTCCATAGACTGCCCGGAGATAGGCACTGGCTCCACCATGACCCTGACTGAATACTTGGGAGAACTTGGATGGATGTATTATTCTCCTTTCACCATTACCTTTCTTTTGGTTTACAAGATTAAGCTTCGGCAACATCTGCCTTTTAACAATGTTTAGAGGTCTTTCTGATATTATCCATCAATATTATAATGTGTAAAGCAACCACAATGGATGGGGTGCAAGTAGTGTTTTGTATCATTGACCCACCTCTCCTGGTCCCAGCTCCACACCACCGGGCTCCAGCTCAGCCTCCAGGATGTGTCCTCCAAAAAGAGGAGGCAGAGCCAATCCAGAAAAATCTTCCATCATCTAAAGGAAAAACATCAATACGACTATAAAGATTTTTTTAAGAACTATATATTTTAAGAAAACAGTACTAAGTGTAGAATGACTTTTAGCCTACATCGGCAGCATTTTTTTTATTATCTGAAACTTTTCTTAATTTAAGAAACCACAAAATTTAGCTTAATATCTCATTAATAGTTATTCTTGAATAAAATACTCGATTTTAATCAAATTTAAAGCAATAATAGTGGCAAACTGCGCCTCTTTACCGATTGTTGTGTTTGTGTCCGCTTGACGCAGCAATTATACGTCACGTCGTATTCTACTACATTTCCCATGAGCAGCCTCTCTGCTCTGCTGAAGCTACTCCGACAATATGGCAGGTATGCGCTTGTTTATCCTGGTTTTAAAAATTTTAACAGTCGGACTAAGTTATACAGTCTCTGATGTCGCCACCACTGATACATTTAGTGTAAGAAATCAGGCAAACCTTATATCCTTGTAACTTTAATACAACGATACGCATTTGAAGAAAAAAATGAAAATGTGACCTTGAATATGTTGCTAGCACGAGCTAACGTGGCTAACTAACTGCGGCAGCCGAGGCTTGTTTTTAATCACTGCTTTGGGTTTTCATGCAGGAATCGGGGCTTTCCTAAAAAATGCTTGGAACAAGGAGCCTGTTATCGTGGCCTCTTGTGGAATTGGCATCGTAGGTAAGCAAGATCTCACTTGGTATTTTGAATTAACTTAGCACAATCTGTTGGTTCACGTTTAACTGATTACTAATCAAATAGCTTGAGCCATACGTTAGAATTGTTAAAGGGAGGATTTTGTTGGAGATGTAGTAGAGATCAAGTGGCACAGGTATATAGTTAATTATTTTGACATCAGTCTAACTGTTCTCTACGGAAGAAGATTAGGGCCACTGCAAATATAAAAAAAGTTAACTGATTTTTAAATATTATTTCAGTTTAATGTGGGAAAAAAACCTCAGAATTCTGACTTTAATCTCAGACTGAATTCTAAACTAGCTCTCTCTCTTTTTTTAATCACCTTCTGCCCTTCCATTAACGAAATAGCATCACCAGGGACCTAATTTCGTCATTGTTAACCAATGTGTTACTGGGCCTCCTAAAACAACTCACATCTTTGTCAGGGAAGCTGAGTGCTCCCACATCTCTTCCTTCATGGTGCACATCTACCGTACATAAATATCCAAAATTTTAAGATTAAAGTAAGAATTCTGAGAAAAAAGTCAGAATTCTGAGATATTAGAGTCAGAATTCTGATATTGGAAGTGAGAGAATTCTGAGATTAAAAGAGAGAATTCTGAGATTTAATTTGATTTATCTGACATTTTCTCATATTATACTGAAATAAAATTAAAAAATCACTTTTTTGTTTTTTGTAAGTGGGCCTAATTCTCTTCCATAGTTCTCCAATGTGTGCTTCCAATATTTTGTGCTAGATTTATAGAGCCAATATAGAAATTTTCCCCCAACATTTGCATAACAAAAATGACATAATCATTGGAAATGTTACAAACATCAATATTTAAATAACAACAAAAAAGAATAAAGCAAAATAAACATTAATAATGCATAGTTCATTGAGGGAGTGGCAATGCATAGACTTCAAGTTAACTCAAGTCATGACTGCTGATTGGATCCAATCTTTTCTTGCTAGGCCCCCTCTTTTGTTTACAAGAAACATTTTGCTCCCCCACAATCTTTAATCCTGCTTCCACATTTTCAACAACTGAACAAACAAAACTCAACTGCAGTAAATTAGTTATCATGAATAAAAGAACTTACAATCTTCTTTAAACACGTACATAAATAGACCCCGCATTAACTTCAATCTCCTATTGGTGATGGCGAAACGTTGTGTTCTATGTTCTAATGTTTTATATTTATATAATATGCACTGCTCAAAACATAAAGGGAACACTCAAATAACACATCCTAGGTTTAAATGAAATATTCTCATTGAATACTTCTTTCTATACAAACTTGAATGTGCTGAAAAGAAGATTTCACACAAATCATAGATGGAAATCTAATTTATTAAGTAATGGATGTGTGGATTTGGAGTCAGACACAAAATCAAGGTGGATAAACACACTACTGGCTGGTCCAACTTTGATGTAATGTCCTTAAAAAGGTTAAAAATGAGGCCCAGTATTGTGTGTGGACTCCACGTGCCTGTATGACCTCCCCACCATGCTTGGGCATCCTCCTGATGTGGTCGCTGATGGTCTCCAGAGGGAACTTCCCCTCAGACATGGAGTAAGGCATCTGCCAACTCCTGGACAGTCTGTGGTGCAATAGGACTTGGTGAATGGATCGAGACATGATATACCAGATGTGTTCAATTGAATCCAGGTCTGGGCAACAGGTGGGCCAGTCCATAGCTTTAATGCCTTCATCTTGCATTAACTGCAGACACATCAAGTCTAGCATTGTCCTGCATTAGGAGGAATCCAGGGCCAACCACACCAGCATATGGTCTCAAAAGGGGTCCGAGGATCTCACCTCGGTACCTAATGGCAGTCATGCTATCTCTGGTGAGCAAATGGAGAGCTGTGCAGCCACCTCACACCATTATTGATCCACTGCTGAACCGGTCATGCTGAAGGATGTTGCAGGCAGCAGATCAATTTCCACTGTTTCTTCAGACTCTGCCATGTCTAATATATTTGATGAGCGTGAACCTGCTTTCATCCATGAAGAGCACAAGGCGCCTTTGGCAAATTTGCCAGTCCTGGTGTTTTCTGGCAAATGCCAGTCATCATGCACAGTGTTGGGCTTAGAGCACAACCCCCATCTGAAGATGTGGGGCCCTCATATCATCCTCGTGGAGTCGGTTTCTAACCATTTTTGCAGACACATGCACATTTGTGGTCTGCTGGAGGTCATATTGCAGGGCTCATGCAGTGCTTCTACCGTTACTCCTTGCACAAAAGCAGAGGTAGCGGGCCTGCTTCTTCGTTGTTACCCTCCTACAGGCCCCTCCGTGTTTCCTGGTAGTGCCTCCAGCCTCTAGACACAAACCTTCTTGCCACAGCTCGCATTGATGTGGCATCATGAATGAGCTGCCCTACCTAAACCACTTGTGTGGGTTGTAGAGTTTTTCTCATGTTGCCACGAGCATGAAAGAACCGCCAACATTCAAAAGTGACCAAGAAAGCATAGGTACTGAGAAGTAGTCTGTGGTCCCCACCTGCAGAACCAATCCTTTATTGGGTGTGTCTTGCTAACTGCCAATAATTTCCACCTGTTTTCTACTGCATTTGCACAACAGCCTGTGGAGTTCATTGACAACCAGTGTTGGTTCCTAATTGGACAGTTTTATTTAATTGAAGTTATATTGTTTGGTGAATGAGTTCTGTTTATTCTTTTGAGCAGTGTTTTTTATTTATCGATCCACACATACGCATTTATGAATATTTACGGAATAAAACTTTAGCCTCTCCTGTCTAGACGTCCCTTAGATGGCATCCTATTTAAGCTTTTGCTAACAGTCTGGTCCATAGATATTGACTGGTAGTAATGTTCTGCTCCCATAAAAGTAGATAATAATCTCCCCTTAGTGGTCTGGGGCTCTTCTAGTTTTCAGCTTTTCTTTACTCACAGTTGGTTTTGCTGCTTACAGCATTTTTCTTTTGCATGTGTATTAATCTAATTTTAGAATTTGCTGTGGAGTCGTGTATTCTCATAGCATATGCAGGATAAAATATGTTTCAGAAACAAACTTATTTAATAGCCCATATTTTCTAAATGGAAAACCTAAATATTGCATAGTATCATGTAAAAATGCTTATTATAAAGTTTCATATCATTATAAAAATTAACTTGGTCCATCTTCTGAAAAACTTTGCAGGGTTTCCGTGGGTCATTAAAAATTATTAAGTCATTAAATTATTATTTTTTTTAAATTAAGGCCTTAATTGGCATTAAAATTCATTAAATGTGACTATCATGGCTTTGAAAATGCTTTATTTAAAAAATCAAAATGTTTATAGAAACAATTTCGTCACATATATCGAATGTTTGGAAAAGAAGCTTGAGGCGGAGAAAAGGCTCTAGAATGGGGGGAAAATGCAAATTTCAACAAAAGTGTCTGGAAAACGAGGAGTATTGGGACATGCTGCAGCCTGTCGACGGCAAAGATGAAGGATTTTGCCGTGTTATATAGATATATTTATGAGAGTCATGGGTACTTGTTGATGGCATTAAAATTATTTCTAATAGCTTTAAAATAGCATTAAATTACAGTTACTCATTCCTGTATAAACCCTGTTTTGTTTTATTGGTCAATAACACAAATTAAACCTGCTTGTAAGGTTTTGATCATAAATTGCAGTAGATTTTCTACACACCCCTGCTAAAAGGCCAGGATTTTGTGTTGGAGAAGAACATAAAAGCAGAGAGACCACCTTTCATGATACCTAAAAGATGTCTGTTTGTTCATATGAGTTATAAAACTCAACCGAATAATTAATCTTACAACTTAAAAAAAACAGTGTCACTGAGCATGCTTAGGTTTGCTCACTCCTATTGGTGTGATTTTCCCTTATTCTAAAAGTGAAAGTCCTTAAGATTCCTTAGAGACAGAGTAATAGTGAAATCAGTAGTTATTTTCTGACATTGCGGATCTTGTATATTGTGCACACTGAAGTATATTCTTTATTCTTTTAGGTGTCATTCTTCCATTCATCAGCCCCTACACCAAATACACAGCAATGATGAATTCCGTCGTGCCATACAACTACCCAGGTAAACTCCCCTGGTTCACTTGTCATTTCACTAAGGCTGTATATCTGTTTCTAAGATTTGTGGAGCAGACTTCTGGGATCTGAATATCAACCAATGAGGTGTCTGTTTCTAAATTATTCCTTTGCAGTTCCTGTGAGGGATGATGGAAATATGCCCGATGTTCCTTCGCATCCATGTGAACCTAAAGGAAGAAGCTTGGAATGGCTTAAAAAGTTATAATACAGGTCAAAGGCCTGTAGTTCCTCTCGTTTGTGCGTCTCTTCAGTTTGCCCAGTTGTAATTGTCTTGCAATAAAAATTATATTTAATCCTACTGTTGTCAGAATGATTTATTCTGTGTTTGACAGATTCGCAGGACTACTTCAAGGTATTTTAAGTGAGTTTTGTTACTCAATTGTCTGTATAATTGGAATTTACTTTGATTTTATATGCAGATTGTCTTTTGTTTATCTGTAATTAGCTTATTACAACTTGAGTAGATCAACTACTTAAATTTAATTTATTTAAAGATTCTAATGGATAAATACATTTTAAAGAATAAAAAAAAAAAGATTATTCTTGGAACAGTTTTCCTTATGTATTTTAAGACTAGACCTACAGTTACTCAACTGGTTCAGTTTAGAAAAGGGCTAAAATACTTTTTTTTGTTAAGATCTGTGTAATGAAGGAATTACTTGTCAGAGTATGTTGCTTAAAATACTAGAAATCTAAAAGCCTTAGTTTGTCCTGTTGCTAGGTAAACTGGAAAGTGCTTTATGATGGTGCTGGATTGGAAACCACCTTTAGCACTGTTTTATAACTCAGAGTAAATGGAGTTTATTGATCAGATGCCCAAAATATGTAGAAAACAGTTTTGAATCTAATTAATGACACACTGACTAGTCTTATATCTCTGTATTTAGTGTAGAAATATATTTCAGTAACAAGAGTTATAATTAAATATTGGCTATTTAATGGTTCTTTTTTGTAATTATATTTTAGAAATTGACAAAGGACACCATGCTGGAAACAGAAAATCAAACAATAGGGGATTTTAGCATACATTTTAGGATCCTTCCAAACAAACTGGGTTAACATAGAAATTTAGAATAGAATTCCACTTTATTGTCATTAAACCTTCACAAGTACAAAGCAATGAAATGTAGTTTGCATCTATCCAGAATTGCTATAAATGGTATATATTAACAGAGAGTCATTGTAAGAGGCTATAAAATAAATAAATATGGAAGCTATACACAAATTATAAAGGAAAGGTATTTATACACATATATATATATATATATATATATACACACACACACAGTGGGGCAAAAAAGTATTTAGTCAGCCACCAATAGTGCAAGTTCTTCCACTTAAAAAGATGAGAGAGGCCGGTAATTTTCATCATAGATATACCTCAACTATGAGAGACAAAATCAGAAAAAAAAATCCAGAAAATCACATTGTCTGATTTTTAAAGAATTTATTTGCAAAATATGGTGGAAAATAAGTATTTGGTCAATAACAAAAGTTCATCTCAATACTTTGTTATATACCCTTTGTTGGCAATGACAGATCAAACGTTTTCTGTAAGTCTTCACAAGGTTTTCACACACTGTTGCTGGTATTTTGGCCCATTCCTCCATGCAGATCTCCTCTAGAGCAGTGATGTTCTGGGGCTGTCGCTGGGCAACAGGGACTTTCAACTCCCTCCAAAGATTTTCTATGGGGTTGAGATCTGGAGACTGGCTAGGCCACTATATTGAACTTAATGAGGTCAAAGAATAAGTGGTTTAATAACTCCAATCTTTTTTTAATGTTGATATTCTACAGCTTTTTCGATGATCCTAAAATATATTTGTTTTTTATTTGGGCCACTGAACCGTAGAAAAACAATCTTACTAGAACTGTAGAGGCTAAGCTCAAAAGCTGCTATAGATGGATTACTGTGGAACAAAAAACAATCAGGTGAACATAGCGCAGCTTGTTTTATGCCAGCTTTTGTTTTTAGATTTTTACAAAAACGATGCAGTTTAATTAGTTTGACTGTAAAATAGTATGTGCAACTTTCTCTTAAAATTATTATTATTCCATCTACGGGTAAAACTTTAATTATCGTGAATGTTTTAAACATCCTTGAATAGCCTTATAGAAACCAAATGCTTTTAGAGCAGATGAACATCATAGAACAATAACTGAAGGTGTTCTCTTTAATAAACATGGGGGGGGGGGAAGCAAGCAAAGATGTGATCTTTGTATTATGGTTCATTATTCTAGAAAGACTTAAACACACAAACAGGAAGAGAAAGTTACAGAAAAAGGCTGATGGGGAAAAAACAGGAAAGCCATGGGAGAGGTATACGATGAATGATAAAATACAACAGATAATGATCAGTAAGATATTGAGTAATTATCCAGGTTTCGCAGAAAAAAACAGGAAATTACTTTTAATTATCTACATGCAGCACATTTGTAAGCAGGAGAGTCATGAATTCACACTAGCGTTCAGTTGGTGACGAATAGTGTCTTTCCATTATGATCCACAAGTAAGGCAAAGCAGAGGGGCAGGAACCTGGGTACGAAACTTTTTAGCTATAAGCTTTTTGGAAAACAATATATCAATGTGTGATTTTTTATTTTTTTTTTTCATTATTTATGATTTAAGAATCATTTAGGGGAGGGAATTGTGTTTTGTGAAGAAGCTAGAAAAAGTAATACAAAAAAGGCTTTGTTATACAAAGCCTTGTACAAAGTATTGTATGTTATAGGCCTACAATACAAAAACTTCAAACCTTCGAACTTGGAAAACTTTTTTTGGAAAAATAAAAAAAACATGAAGTCAAAATCATATTTCTCTTAATCTTTTAAAGAATTTTTGAAACATATCATTTGAAGGTTTTTCTTGTACTAAATGACATTATCGACTTAGTTTAAAGATCTGTGAAAATTTCACTTTAAGAAATTTAAGTTGTCATGGTTTGTATTAGAAACCTTTATTCCATGAGATTAAAATCATCAGAAATGTCTTGTTTTCCTCCAATATTAGCCATTATAGTGAAATGATTTCATGGTTCAATATCCTGCTCATGTTTACACAAAACATATTTTCATGTTTTAAAAAATATTTCAATTCATTAGAATAATTGTAAACTTGTAATCACTTCAGTTATAACAAAACAATAATAGGAATCATATGCAGCAATGAATACTGTTAATAAGTAAATCTATTTGCACTGCCAAGCCAAAGGTTGCTTTTTGAATACATACAGTCATTTGCTGATTTACTATTATAAAAGTTCAATGCCCATTGAACTACGACTGGTTTGTAATATGTCAGCATGAGAGACTAATTAGCTGTGAAGAACTTTGTATGTTTAAATGCAGCTTTCTCTATCAACTGCATTTATGAAACAAATAAATTCAACACATGTCCTTCTCCCATTTACAAAACCAAAATGATGTAAAAAAAAAAAAAAAAA